CTTCACAGGACGTCGTCTTTTTGAAGGTGAACTTTCCATTTTTGCCGCGTTATCATCATCATTATTATTGTTATTGTTAGTGTCGTTCTTGTTCTCACTACCGTTACTATTCTCACCCTTATCTGCGTTACTATCATTTGCACATGCCTCCACATCAATATCGATCACCTCAATTTCGTCATCCACATCTGAGATGAAATGAACAAAATCAACAGCATAAAACGAAATGCAATCCAAATTAACAAATGCATTCATTCCTGCATTTATCCACTCCATTAATAGCACTATTGTTAAAACTACAAAAAATAAAACCAACGTTGTTTTTTGCTCCTGTGATTATTATTACTATTCTTCTTCTCATGATGACGCTTACGAGGCGAACTTTTCGACTGATCGTCCTTCTTCTTCAATCGCTGTTCGTTCTGAAGTTAACAACTTTATAAAATAATAACACCACCAACAACAATAATAACCAAAATAACATCTATTAAAAACTCACTCGAAAACGATCATTCAATACGAGTTGATGATACTCAACGAAATCCTTGAATTCAGGCACACGAAAATTACTTTCACGCTGCAATATCAACGATATCAATATTACATATCACTTTCAATTAGGACCAAAAATATTTGATGATCCACAAAATGTGCAACAAAACCAATCCAATCGAACATAACAACAACTCACATCACGTAAACGACGCGAGTTAAAATTGAACCCAAAATAGTAAATCATTTTGTCTGCGTTGATTTTCGGCGGTTTCGGATCACCTGAAAAACATGAAAATTCCAACGGAACACCAATAACTTTGACTAGTTCATCATAATAATGATATCAATAATAATAACAATAATAACATTCATAACACAATTAACAATAACAATAATAACAATAATGACAGAAACAATACTAACAACCACAAGAAAAAAACCGTAATAATAATGATAACCTTTTTCTTGTCGTATCGGTTTCGAATTGTCGTTTCCAAACAATGCAGATGCCTCTTCCTCATCGTCCAAATAAAATTCCAAAAGGGTATTCTCATTGGAATCTATCGCCTGAAAGCATCAAAAGATTGCAGATATTCGATAACCGAATCGAAAATTCAAACAAAATTTCATATCAACGCAATCCAGCGGTCAATTTTCAAACTAGTCAACATCTGAAAATTCCAAGAAAATCCCAGATGAACTAGACGAAAGTCGATGAAATCGCACCTGTTTGAGATACGCCGGTGGATAGCCGTCGATGAATCCCAATCTACGCATCCGATATATCCATTCGGGGATATCATTCGCTCCAAGACTCAACGCTTTACGCAACTCGTCACTTAGATGACCAGGCCTAACGATAATCCATTTTATTTGCAATTAATTCATCGATTACTACTGAATGAAAACCGACTGTTAAATGATAACCATGCACTATTCATGGTCATAAAATCACCAAACTCAATGAAAATTGTTTAGCAGAAGTAAGCAAAACTGAAAATAAAACAATGAGAATTGAACAATAATTCAAAAC